GGGTTGTTGTGGGGCCACCCGAAGTCAGTGTACTGCAGGTGGTGGAGAAGCTTGCCTGAGTTTTTGGGGGGGAAGTGGCACCGTGTCTCCTCGGGCCGCCGGAGAACCACACCACTGGCGTTCACCCAGTGCACGAGCCAGCTCATCTGGCAGATGCAGTTGAAGGGGTTGCCTGCAGCTGTCATGGCCCGGAGTCTCGGGAAGAAGCCGGAGAAGTCCCGAGGGATGGTGTTTATGTTGAGGTTGCTGATGTCCAGCTCCTGGAGGTTGTGAAGGTTGTGGAAGTCCTCTGCCAGCAGCTGGGAGATCTGGGCATTCCCAGCCAGACTGAGCTTGGTGAGGCTCCCCAGCCGCCGCAGCACTGCTGGGACACGCTCCAGCAGGTTGTCAGAGACGTCCAACTCATGGAGGTTGTTCTGGGTCTGGAAAAGCTCCTCATCCAGGCTTGTTAGGCCCAGGCCCGCGATCTTTAGAGACTCAATGTTAACAGCATGGAAGGCCCCAGGTGCAATAGCGGGGATTTTGTTCCAGCTGATGTCCAGCAGCAGGAGGTTGGGCAGGTCAAGGGGAGGCACGGCCCAGAGCTGGTTGTTCTGCAATTTCAGCTCCAGTAGGTTCTCGAGAGTGTCAAATGCAGCAGCATGGATGTGCTGGATCCTGTTCCTCTGCAGGTAGAGCCGCTCCAGGAGCCGCAGCCCATGGAAGGTCTCATTGGTGATCTCTTGCAGGTGGTTAGAGGACAGGTCCAAGTTGACGAGCTCTGTTAAGGGCTGGAAGACGTTTTTCTGGATGCTGGTAATCTTGTTTTGTGAGAGGTCCAAGAGCTGAAGGGCAGGCAGGCCCACAAAGCTGTCCTCACTGAGCATCGTGATGCCATTCTCAAAGACGTACAGGGACAGGGTGTTCTGGGGCAGCCCGCTGGGCACAGTGTGGCCTCGTCTTGCTGCACACAGGATGGTCTTAGGGTCTTGGCACTGGCAGCCTGCAGGACATGCCTGAATGAGGTCCCCGGAGGCAAAGAGAAGCAGCCCGCAAAGAATCAGCTGGCTCATGGTGTCGACTCTGCAGGAGAGAGAAACCCAGTCACGGTTAGGTGCTAAGCCCTGCCACAGGGGATCGTTTCAGTATTCCTCCATGTCCCAGGGCTGCGTGTGTCCCAGGGTGCAGTGTCTCCCACCTGGGACAAGAGCAATCCCTGGGAAGTGGGGTGGTAGGGAGCTTCAGACCTCCCTCCTGCAAGCCCTGCACAGTCTCCAGGGGCTCCGCATCCAGCCACTGGGGTCGGAGAGTGGGGCAGAGGGGTGGCTGCGCCAGCTTGCGTGAGTCAGGATGCATCAAGCAAATGCCCCTGGCAAGTCTTCGGAGGGAGGCGAGGGTGCAGGGGTGGGCTGGAGCGGCAGTTCCTGCTTCTGCACGGTTTGGCCCAAGCATCCTCCTGCTCAGGCTGGAAAGTGCTCGGGCTCTGGCCAGGGAGGACACCCGGAGAAACCAGGAGAGAGAGGGCGAGGCACGCAAGTCCAGGGCAGCAAGGCCCCAGCCGGCTCCCCTGGGCTCCTGTCCCACAGGCGAGTGCCAGTGCTGCTTCACATGGAAAATATTTGGCTTTTCCAGTGCTTCACAGGCAACCTGCAGCGATGCTAGCAGAGGAGGGCTGGTTCGCCGCAGCTCCCAGGCAGCGCTGGGGGCAGGAGCCCCCGAGCCCGGCTCACGAGTGGGGCAGGGAGAGCCGGGCTGTCCCCCGGCGGCCCCTCAG